GCAACGCAGGGCAGGGCAGGGCGTGCGCGGGGCGGCGCGACGCAGGGCAGGGCGTGCGCGGGGCGGCGCGACGCAGGGCAGGGCGTGCGCGGGGCGGCGAGACACAGGGCAGGGCATGCGCGGGGCGGTGCGACGCAGGGTAGGGAAGGGCGTGCGCGGGCGGCGCGACGCAGGGTAGGGCGTGCGCGGGGTGGCGCAACACAGGGTAGGGCGTGCGCGGGGCGGCGCAACGCAGGGCAGGGCAGGGCGTGCGCGGGCGGCGCGACGCAGGGCAGGGCGTGCGTGGGGCGGCACAACTCAGGGCAGGGCAGGGCGTACGTGGGCGGCGCGACGCAGGGCAGGGCGTGCGCAAGGCGGCGCAACGGAGGGCACGGCGTGTGCGGGGCGGCGCAACGCAGGGCAGGGCAGGGCGTGCGCGGGCAGTGCGACGCAGGGCAGGGCAGGCGTGCGACAGCCAGCAGGGCGGCGCGACGGGCAGAGCAGGGCAGCGCGACTGGTGGGGCAGCGCTACGGGCAGGGAACTAGTCGGTGGGCCCTAAAAAAAAACGGTCCTGGAACAGGACCTGCTCTGAAACCATTTCAGAATACTGAATGGATTGGATTGAGATCAAACTGAGTACAAGTACTAACCCTAATTGGGTTGTACCCCTTATGGGCTACCCCACTACAGCCTACACAACATAAACATTATGATGTTCTGACACCAAGGACCAGCTGCAAAATCTACTGAAGCACCTGTGAATCTTTCGACTGGCTTCGACCCAAGCATGATGGAGAAGTTCTTCTCCTTCATGTCGTTCTACAAACAACAACAAGCAGCACCTGCGCAGTCAAACAACAGCAACAACGGAGTTACTCCCATGAGCCTTGATGGCTCTTCCCTTGCGTGCGGAAATCAGCAACCTACCTTCGCACCATATGAACCTCAACGTGGCTCTGTCAGCTTCATGCCGAATCGCCTCCAACCTGGACAAGAAACCAAGACAATGGACGCGCTTCAGCTGCAGTCACAATTCGCACACGTGCTGAAATTTTTAAAACGACAACACCATTCGACGGAAAGGACTTCTATACCTGGTCCTTCGAATTCGAACTGATGATGGAAGGAGCCCAAATCCTCGAACTCTTCGACGGTTCCCTGGCATACCCAACATACGGGACACAGTACGACATGCAGCAGTACATGTATCAGTCCCTAGTGGCGTACACCATCCTCCTGCGAAACATCACGGCAAGCGAGCAGCAGAACATTCGAACTTATCACGGATACGGTAACTCCGCCGAGCTCGCCTACAACCACCTGAAGAATCTGTATCAAGCAAACGACTGCGTAAATCAGAGTCGTCTCATGTTGCAATTAACAACAGTCCAAATGCAACCCGGCGAAAAGACAATGGTCTATATCAGTCGCTGCCGCGGTCTACGCGACAGACTCCTTCAGTGCGGCGGAGCACTATCCGAAGACGCTTTCGTCACCGTCATCCTCGCGGGCCTCGGTGCTCAATGGCGTTCCACCCGGGCCATTCTCCGGGCCCACAGAAGACTCTCTGAAACAAGCCTCTGTGCAGAACTCCATGCCGAGCAACAAGACATGGACCTGCACGAAGAACGACACAAGAAAAGGGCATCAGTACCAGAGTTCGCCTTTCACACTCAGAGGCGCTACAACAACAACAACTGACAACACGATCATCAAGCACGGAGATACGTACCGCCGTTCTGCCATCTCTGTCGAACATCCGGACACTCGCGCATCAACTGCCCAAATAACCAGCAATCAACACCACCGCGTCAGCTCCGACCTTCAAGCAGTCAAGTGACATCCATGCAACTACAACCTTCGAACCAAGTACAGTCTTCAAAACCAACACCACAACTTGTTCGAGGAACAAGAAACATCGTAAGATGCATGACAAGAACGGACTCCTGCATCACTGAATCACCACCGACCTACTCACCAGAAGAACTGCTCAACGAACACACGCCTCGTCGCGAATCACTGGAACCAAATCTGACGTATGCCGCCATCGCACAGAACGAGCCGTCTGGCCGAGACACATGGTTCTTGGACAGCTGCTGTGGACAACACATGTGCTCTTCAGATCGCTTTGTTCAACGGGAACAACGCCTCAACTGGGAAGTCATGATAACCATCGCGAAAAACCAGAACCTGCGCACACGACGACAAGGGGTAGTTCAGCTGCGGTCTCTCGAGACTAACGTTGTTTTGTAGATGTCAAAAGTCCTGATTGCAGAAGGACTCGGCTACAACTTGCTCAGCGTAAGGCAGCTTATGGCAAAAGGGATCCACCTCGAAGCAGACAGCACCACCCAAGAGTTCAAGCTGTACCACGGGAAGGGCGGACTTTACATCAGGAAGGCAGTCCTCAAGAACAACGTCTTCGTCCTCGACTTCGTCCCAGATTGAGGCACTGCTGACAGCGACGGGATAGTTAACTTCACCACTTGGACGCACCCTCCGGATCTCGACCCCAACTTCAGTCTCGGAGGCTTCTGGCACTCGCACACCATGCCTGAAGTAGAGCGAACAAGGGCGTTAGCCGTGATGCAACAAGCAACAGCAGCAACAACAACACCAGCAGAATCAGAAGCAACAACAACAGCAGAAACAACACCAGCAGAAGCAGAAGCAACAACAGCAACAGCATCAACAACAAACTTCCCTGTCGATGGTCCTTTAACAGCACCACCTCCCATCGACGAGTCTACACCGACCCCCGCCCAACAGCTGACTCCCCCTCCACGCGCCGTTCACAGAAGTGCAAACGTCACCGCCGGCTTCTACTCCAACTCCGACCTGTACAGGAGATCACTTGGACATCGCGCTGACAAATCACTGTGGCATTGGGACATACCAGCAACACGACACTGAGCAACACGATAAGAGCATGAGTTCTCGATAAAGATTCACTACTTCTACAAGACGACAGAGACCTTCAACGCGTCCGCGGAACCTGCTTTACCTGCCCCGAAGCCGACTTACCTCATCAGCCGTTCGTCTCTCACCATAACCCGAGCGCACCAGCATACGAGCCACTGGAAAAGGTCTTCAGCGGCATCTTGTACGCCAGCGAAAGTGGACAAGGAGATTACAACTACGTGATAACCTTCATCGACGCCGCTACCAGATACGTCTGGCATCTCAACCTGCCATGCCGCGACATGCCATTCGAAGCCATCATCGCATGACTCCCAGTAGTAGATTGGGAGTCTGGAGTGAAACTGAAAAGTTTTCAAACTGGCGGGAGAGGAGAATATCAATCACAAAGGTTCAAGCAATACTTGGCAGAGAGAGGCATCAAGCGACTCATCTCCCTCCCTTACGCTCATCAATACAAGGTGTCGCAGAAAGGACGAATCGGACCCTCCAGAACACCATGCGCAAGCTGCTACGTGGCATGAGACTGCCCGAGAGCCAGTGGCCTGCACCAATGGACCACGCTGTACTACTGCACAACTAGCTCTCGTCGTCCTCACTTCCGAACAACGCATCACCGCATCTGCTGCGGACAAGAAAGATGGGCAACACAAAAATGATGGTACAACTGTATGGTACATTACCTACGCCACACTGCACGGGCCGGCCGATTTTCACAACGCGCACAGTGGGGACTACACCTGGGCATCGAAAAACATTACAACGCGTGAGTGGCACGACACACTGAGGACGACACTTGCGGCTCTCGGGTTTGCTCCTTCGACTGCTGACCCGTTGCTGTTTCTGCGCATAGACACTTCGCTGTCGCCGTTCTACATCCTCGTGTACGTCGATGACTTGGTTTTTGCCACTGCTGACACTGAGGCACTGGCCCTTGTGAAGTCGGAGCTGTAGAGGAGACACACGTGCACAGATCTGGGTGAGCTGTGCAGCTATCTTGGCTTGCAGATCACCCGGGACAGAGCACGTCGCACCATCACGCTCACTTAGTCACACATGGTGCACCAGGTCCTTCAGCGCTTCGGCTTCCGGTTCTCCTCGCCACAGTCCACTCCTCTGCCTACCAGTCACTCGCTCTCAGCTCCACCTTTGGACGAGTCCGTAGAGCCGAGTGGCCCGTATCCAGAGCTTGTGGACTGCCTCATGTACCTGATGACCTGCACTCAACCTGACCTTGCGTACCCTCTTAGCATCCTGGCACGCTACGTTGCGCCCGGGAGACACCGACCAGAGCACTGGGAGGCCGCTAAGAGGGTGTTGTGCTACTTGTGCAGTACATCGAGCATGGGGCTCGTGCTTGGAGGACGGGGCCCAGTTGTCCTCACTGGACACTCAGACGCCTCTTGGGTTGACGACCTAGCTACGCAGCGGTCGTCACAGGGTTACACTTTCAGCCTTGGCTCCGGCTCTGTTTCTTGGCGGTCTACCCGCTCGTCTTTTGTTCTCAGCTCCAGTTGTGAGGCTGAGATCTACGCAGGAGCCATGGCTGCACATGAGTTACGCTGGCTCACCTACCTGCTGACCGACTAGGGAGAGCGGCCTCGTTCTCCTCCAGTCCTGTACGTAGACAACAAGGCCATGATTGCCTTGTGTCAGGAGCACAGACTGGAGCACAGAACGAAGCACATCGCTCTGCGTTACTTTCTTGCTCGAGAGTTGCAGCAGCGTGGTCAGCTTCGTCTTGCTTACGTGGCCACATAAGCCAACACTGCTGATATATTCACCAAGGCACTTCAGCCTGGTGATCATCAGCGTTTCTGTACTGCTTTAGGCCTTGTGCATGTTTTGTCTCACTTGCTCACTGCGTGACTTTGCATGTACTGTAATATATACATATATATGTATATATATACCTGCATGCTTGCACTTGCTAGGTTGTTATCACTATACTGATTGTTCTCTTTTTTATAACTCTGCATGTGAACTGGCCTTGTGGCCATTTGCTTGTGCTCGGACTGTGTGGTGACTTCGTGATCCACCCTGAGCTTGCTTTGCTTTTCTTGACTGGTCTTGTGACCACTTGTTCTCCCCCAGTTTGCCTATGGGGGTGTGTCAGAACATCATGATGATTTTGTTGTGAAGGCTGTAGTGGGGTAGTCCATAAGGGGTACAGCCTAATTAGGGCAATCCAATCAGATCCAATCATTCTCGTTCAGTATTCTGACACTTGGGCAGTGCCCCCTTCTGTCTGTAGTCCGGAGACCGGAGGTGGAGTAGTGTGAGAGTACGACGGCTTATGCTGGCTTTGCTAGCTTGCCTGGACTTTATTATGTTATTACTAGCTTAGCTTTATTTTATCTTGCATGCTTTTGCTTGATTTCCTAGGTTCGTTGCTTTTACTCTAGTTATTATAGTTATAGGCACTGAACTAGGTTGAGTGCACCGAATTCTAGGCTTTTCGGTTGCCACCGAATTGCCTTCTACCGAATTCGGGAAGGACCCGTTTGGGACGCTTCGTGACCCGCGGAACCTTCTAGTAACACCCGGGTTACTGCCTTTGTGTCGAGCCTATATTAAGCCTCGCCTTGTACCCAGGTGAATCATTCAATAGAATCATCTTTCCTGAACCAGATCCTCACACTTGATAAACAGAGCGGGTTTACACGCGAGGTCTTCAACCGCGTAGTTCCGGCCTTTAAAGCCCAAGACCTGAATTACAAAAAAAGGAAGGCAAACTGTGCACAGTTTGCCTTCCGAACCCACAGTTGACTTTCCAAGCCTGGCTGGTTACCAGAAAACATCGCGCAAAAAACTCGAAGTCGTAGGGCGGAACAAGTACGGTTGGCGAGAGTCCCAACCGCACCCTTCTGAAGGAACAACCACTCAAAGTGTGCACAGTTTGCTTCTTCCGTAATTCAGGTTGTGCTTGCACCGATGATAGGCTAAGGGATTAGATCGTGCGAAGAGATAGAACAAAAAGCCACTAAAGCATAGGCCAGGGTTACTTTCACATTTATTCCTAGTAATCCTACGGCCCATTTAGAACTCCACGCTTTCCGCGTCACCCACGCTCCTCCCCACCGTCTCTCACACACCTCCCCACGCACACGCCCACGCTTCCCTTCGCCGTCGCCAACGCGTTCTGCCACCGTCGCTCACGCTTCCCCTTACCGCCGCTCACGCTTCCTCCTGCCTTCCCCCACGCATCCCCACACCGTCGCGCGCGCCCTCCTTCACCTTCCTCCACGCTTCCCCACACCGTCGCTCGCGCCTTCCCCCACCTTCCCTCACGCGCGCCCCGCTCATCGCCCACACTTCCTCCCACCGTCGCTCACGCTTTCCCCCACCGTCGCCCACGCTTCCTCCCACCGTCGCCCACGCTTTCCCCCACCGTCGCCCACGCTTCCCCCCACCGTCGCCCAAGCTTCCCCTCACCGTCGCCCACGCTTCCTCCCACCGTCGCCCACGCTTCCTCCCACCGTCGCCCACGCTTCCCCGCTCATCGCCCACACTTCCTCCCACCGTCGCCCACGCTTTCCCCCACCGTCGCCCACGCTTCCCCCCACCGTCGCCCACGCTTCCCCCTACCGTCGCCCACGCTTCCCCCCACCGTCGCCCCCTCTTCCCCCCACCGTCGCCCACGCTTCCCCCCACCGTCGCCCACGCTTCCCCCCACCGTCGCCCACGCTTCACCCCCCCCCCGTCGCCCACGCTTCCCCCCCCCGTCGCCCACGCTTCCCCCCCCCGTCGCCCACGCTCCCCCCCCCCCGTCGCCCACGCTTCCCCCCACCGTCGCCCATGGCAGGTGGTGGTGCGGCTTTGGAGCAGAGTGTTGGGCGCCCAGCCAGGGCAGCGCGTGCAGGCGGGCAGCAAGGAGTGCAGTGCTGCAGGGGGCGGGTCGGGGGAGGCGGAGCGGGGAAGGCGGGGGTTAGGGAGAGAGGGTGCAGGGATCCTCCAATCCCCCTTATACCCTGCCACACTCTTACCACCTGCCCTCCTCCCTTACTCCGTTCCGTGGGGCCCCCACGGTCGTCCTCCTCTCCCTCTCTCTTTCTCCCTTCCTCCATCTATCCCACACTCTCTGCCTCACTACCCTCTTTCCCCTGCTCCCCATTCTCCCTCCCTTCCTCCTGCCCTCCCTTCCTGCCATTCTCCCTCTCCTCATCCTCCCTCGATCCAGTCCCTCTTTCCATTTCCATCTCCCACTCGCCGATCCTCTCATCCGCCCCTCCTCTCTCATCCGCCCATCCTCTCATCCGCCCATCCTCTCATCCACCCATCATCTCATCCGCCCATCCTCTCATCCGCCCATCCTCTCATCCACCCATCATCTCATCCGCCCATCCTCTCATCCGCCCATCCTCTCATCCGCCCATCCTCTCATGCGCCCATCTTCTCATCCGCCCATCATCTCATCCGCCCATCTTCTCATGCGCCCATCTTCTCATCCGCCCATCATCTCATCCGCCCATCTTCTCATCCGCCCGTCATCTCATCTGCCCATCTTCTCATCCACCCATCTTCTCATCCGCCCATCCTCTCATCCGCCCATCCTCTCATCCGCCCATCCTCTCATCTACCCACCCTCTCATCCGCCCATCCTATCATCCCCCTTTCTCTCATTCGGCCTTCATCCTCCCACCATCGCCCACGCTTCTCCTCACCGTCTACCACTGCCACTGTCACCCACGCCTGCCCTCCCATCGCCCACTGCCTCCTGTCCACCACCATTTACCCCACCTTTCCCCATCATTTCCACCCCCTTCATTTCCCCATCATTTCCCCCACCTTTCCCCCTCATTTTCCCCTTTCCCCCCTCCATTCTCCCTCTTGTCCTCCTCGTTCCCCCCTCCTTTACCCCTCCTTTCTCCTTCCTTTCCCCATCATTTCCCCAGCCTTTTCCCCTCCTGCCCCACTCCCTCTCCCTCTCCCTCTCCCTCTCCCTCTCTGTCTCCGCTCCCTCTCCCCTCCTTCCCCCCTCCCTCTCCCTCTCCCTCTCCCTCGTCCTCTCCTCCCCATTGCATGCCTGGTTGACTCCCATCTCCTGCTAGCAGAGGCCGCTGCATTTGCGCAGCCATCAATTTCTGAGGCGCCTCAAGGATCGTCTCGACGCAATCCCCACTCTCTCCTTCCTCCCCACTGCACACCTGCCAGAACCGCATCTTGTGCTACCAGGTACTGCCCTGCACTGCCATCTCCCTATTCACCTCAACTTCCCGAGGTATACACCCCCGCCTCCCGTCCTCTCATCCTCCCTTCCTCTCATCCTCCCTTCCTCTCATCCTCCCTTCCTCTCATCCTCCCTTCCTCTCATCCTCCCTTCCTCTCATCCTCCCTTCCTCTCATCCTCCCTTCCTCTCATCCTCCCTTCCTCTCATCCTCCCTTCCTCTCATCCTCCCTTCCTCTCATCCTCCCTTCCTCTCATCCTCCCTTCCTCTCATCCTCCCTTCCTCTCATCCTCCCTTCCTCTCATCCTCCCTTCCTCTCATCCTCCCTTCCTCTCATCCTCCCTTCCTCTCATCCTCCCTTCCTCTCATCCTCTCTTCCTCTCCTCCTCCCGTCCTCTCATCCTCCCTTCCCCCCTTCTCCCCTCCCGTCCTCTCATCCTCCGTTCCTCGCATCCCCCATCCCCCCTTCTCCCCTCCCACCCTTCCACCCTCCAGCCCTTGTGCTCATCCTCCCTTCCCCTCATTCTCCCTTCATCTCATCCTCCCATCCTTCTTTTCTTCCTTCCCCCCCTCCCTTCCTCCCTTCCACCCTTCCACCCAACGTCGTCCTCTCCTACTCCCTTCCTCTCTTCCACCCTCTCCCCTACTCTCTGCTTCAGTGTCTTTCCCCCCTCTCTTTCCCCTTTCCTCCCTCCCTTCACCCCATCCTCTCGTCCACCCTTCCTCCTTGTCTCCCTTGCTCATTTTCTCCCTCGGCACAGTCCTTGTTCTCTGCATCCCTCTCTGCCATCCTCCCTTCCTCTCAGCCTCCTCACTTCCTCTCGTCAGCCATTCCTCTGCACCCTTCTACCCTGCCACGCGACTACACTCCTACCCTGTCTGTATATTCTAGGGGCTTGTTTCTTGTCGCCTGCCCTCCCATTGTCATTGTTTTGTATCCTTCCCTGATGCTTCGTGTTTGTGGTTCGTGTTTGTGCAGGTTTGCCATGCATCCAGTTGTCATGCCTTAGCTGTTTGATGTTAGTGGTATGACAAATAGCCATGCGATGTAGAGATGTTGGATCCTTCTCCTGATACAACACTCTGGGCTTTAGAGCAGCCATGCACATGACCACTACAAAGAAATGCAACAAAGCAAGTTATATTTAAAAAAAAATTGTCAGTAGTAGACTACAAGCACAATGTACAAAGCTAGGAGGTGGTAACTTTCCATCCCACTCCTGTTGGACCCATGGTGCTGGGCACCTGTACAAGCATGGTTCTGTGATAGAACAATGAGGGAAGAGGGGATATGGCAAAATAAGCGAGGGGTGGAGGTGGAGGTGCTGAAGGGCATGTATAGGAGGAGTGGACAAGGCAGAGGGGTGAGCAAAGGGGGAAAAGGAGAGAGGTAACGCGTGAGCTCTATGGTGGCTATAGGTAGATACAAAGATGAAGAGAGAAGAGGGGAGGGAGGAGAGGGAGAGCACATGGTTGTAGAGACTTGAGAGGAGGAGACTGTGTCGTGAGAGTGAGGAACTGGGAACGAGGGGAACTGGGAGAGGTAGGAACTGAAAAAGAGAGAGGGGGTGTGTGTAAAATTGGACACTCATTGTGCGCGGATGGGCAGAATTCAGAACCAGAACGTCAACCCCGCGCGCCCCTCCTCCCAGTTCGCACGCGATCGCTCTTTCCTCCTTCCCCCCACCCAACCCCCCTTTCTTCCTCCCCTTTCCCCCCCCCCCCCCCTCTTCCGCCCCTCCTCACCTTCCCCTCTCCTCCCCCCCCTTTTTCTGCCTTCCCCCCTCCTTTCCCCCTACCCCCCCTCGCACCCACCCACATTCAGGATAGACAACTCACCGGGCGCGGATGGGCGGCATTCAAAACCAGCACGTCAACTCCGCACGGCCCTTCCTCTCCACGTGCCTCCTCCCCGCGGAACGCGCTTTCCGCCTGGCGCACTGCGTCGTGCAGCACGTCCGCGCCCCCCTTGAGGTCGAACGGTAGCACCACCACCCCCTCCGGCGCGTGCTTCCCGCAGCAGGAAGTGCGCACCGCCTCCAGGCGCTCCGCGGAGCGCGCGGAGAGGATCAGCCGCGCGCCCATCGCCGCGAAAGGCGCGCCCTTGAGGCGCAGCGTCAAGTCCGCTGCGGTAGCGCGGAGTGCGCGAGGGACACATGATGCGCGGGGCATGCGGGGAGGGGAGGATGGGGATAGCAAAGAGGGATATAGGGTGAGCAGGGAGGAGAAGGAGGTGAGCAAAGGGGAAAGCCAGTAAGCAGGGGGAAACGAGGGGTGTGAACAGGGGAGGTGAGAGGGATTGTGGGGAAAAAGGGTTGAACGAAGGGGAATAGAGAGTAAACAGGGGGGAAAGATAAGTGAGTCCAGGGAGAACGAGAGTGAGTAGTGGGGGAGAGAGTGAGCAGTGGGGGAGAGAGTGAGCAGTGGGGGAGAGAGTGAGCAGTGGGGAGAGAGTGAGCAGTGGGGGAGAGAGTGAGCAGTGGGGGAGAGAGTGAGCAGTCCTCCAGGGAGTGAGCAGTGGGGGAGAGAGTGAGCAGTGGGGAGAGAGTGAGCAGTGGGGGAGAGAGTGAGCAGTGGGGGAGAGAGTGAGCAGTGGGGGAGAGAGTGAGCAGTGGGGGAGAGAGTGAGCAGTCCTCCAGGGAGTGAGCAGTGGGGGAGAGAGTGAGCAGTGGGGGAGAGAGTGAGCAGTGGGGGAGAGAGTGAGCAGTGGGGGAGAGAGTGAGCAGTGGGGGAGAGAGTGAGCAGTGGGGGAGAGAGTGAGCAGTGGGGGAGAGAGTGAGCAGTCCTCCAGGGAGTGAGCAGTGGGGGAGAGAGTGAGCAGTGGGGGAGAGAGTGAGCAGTGGGGGAGAGAGTGAGCAGTGGGGGAGAGAGTGAGCAGTGGGGGAGAGAGTGAGCAGTGGGGAGAGAGTGAGCAGTGGGGAGAGAGTGAGCAGTGGGGGAGAGAGTGAGCAGTGGGGGAGAGAGTGAGCAGTCCTCCAGGGAGTGAGCAGTGGGGGAGAGAGTGAGCAGTGGGGGAGAGAGTGAGCAGTGGGGGAGAGAGTGAGCAGTGGGGGAGAGAGTGAGCAGTGGGGGAGAGAGTGAGCAGTGGGGGAGAGAGTGAGCAGTGGGGGAGAGAGTGAGCAGTCCTCCAGGGAGTGAGCAGTGGGGGAGAGAGTGAGCAGTGGGGGAGAGAGTGAGCAGTGGGGGAGAGAGTGAGCAGTGGGGGAGAGAGTGAGCAGTGGGGGAGAGAGTGAGCAGTGGGGGAGAGAGTGAGCAGTGGGGGAGAGAGTGAGCAGTGGGGGAGGGAGTGAGCAGTGGGGGAGAGAGTGAGCAGTGGGGGAGAGAGTGAGCAGTGGGGGAGAGAGTGAGCAGTGGGGGAGAGAGTGAGCAGTGGGGGAGAGAGTGAGCAGGGGGGGAGAGAGTGAGCAGTGGGGGAGAGAGTGAGCAGTGGGGGAGGAGAGAGAGCGTAGGGTGGGGGAATGGAGGGGATAAAGACGAGCAATGGGAGGGGTAGAGAAGGCGACGGGCGGGGAAGAGAGAATGAGCAGGGAGAGTGAAAGGCAATGGGAGGGGAAGTGAAGGCGACGGGTGGTGAAGCAAGTGCAACAGGCGGGGGAAGCGAGTGCGACAGGCGGGGGAAGCGAGTGCGACGGGGGGGGGGGGGGGGGGAGTGAAGGCGCGGGGGGTGGGAAGTCGCGACGTGGTGGGGGGGGGTTGAAGGTGACGGGATGGGGGAAGAGAAGGCGACGGGGGGGGGGGGGGGGGGGGGGGAAGTGAAGGCGACGGGATGGGGGAAATGAAGGCCATGGGGCGGGGGAGGTGAAAACGATGGGAGGGGGAAAAGTGAAGGCGACGGGGGGTGGGAAGTCACCACGGGTTGGGGGGGGTGAAGGCGACGGGGAAGAGAAGGCGACGGGGGGAAGTGAAGGCGATGGGGGGGAAGTGAAGGCGACGGGGGGGAAGTGAAGGCGACGGGGGGGATATGAAGGCGACGGGGGGGAAGTGAAGGCGACGGGGGGGAAGTGAAGGCGACGGGCGGAGCGTTCGCGACGGGCGGAGCGTTCGCGACTGGCTGGGGTCGCGAAGGCGACGAGCTGCGGAAATGATGGCGACGACGCGGACGACAGAGAGCGGAAGCGTGGGACCTAGGGAAAGGAAAGCGAGGGCGAGGGGAGGGTCACGGTTGGTCGAACGGGTGTGATTCGGTTTTTGATGCGGCGAGTTTACGCTACGCAATAGTTGCACAATAACCTGCATTTGTCAAACATATATGCTGCATATTGTCTAGGCTGTAGTGGGGTAGCCCATATGGGGTACAACCTAATTAGGGTTTACTACTTGTACTCCTGCATGCTGTTAGTTCATCATTCCTGCTGCTAGATTCTAACATGGTTTCAGAGCACTAAGGTCCGTAGGACCGTTTTTTTTTCGGGCCCACCTACCGCTGCGGTTACCGCGCTACCCCACGTACCTGCCTGCCTTGCCTTGCCTTGTGACGTGCTGCACTACGCGAGCCGTCCAGCAGCCCTAGCGCTGCCTCCTGCTGCCCTAGGCCAGCGCGCTGCCCCTAGAGGCCCGTAAGGCCCGCGCGCCGCTCCTACACGCCCTTCAGGCCCGCGCAGCCCGCACCGAGCCGCGCGCAGCCCGCTGCTGCCGCGCGCTGCCCGCACCGAGCCCGCGCAGCCCGCACCGAGCCGCGCGCAGCCCGCTGCTGCCGCGCGCTGCCCGCACCGAGCCCGCGCAGCCCGCACCGAGCCGCGCGCAGCCCGCACCGAGCCGCGCGCAGCCCGCTGCAGCCGCGCGCAGCCCGCACCGAGCCGCGCGCAGCCCGCTGCTGCCGCGCGCAGCCCGCGCCGAGCCCACGCAGCCCGCGTCGAGCCGCGCGCGGCCTGCTCCTGCCTCGCGAGGCCCGCGCGCGGCCCGCAGCAGCCCGCGCCGAGCCGCGCGCGGCCTGCTACTGCCTCGCGCGGCCCGCGCGCGGCCCGCAGCAGCCCGCGCCGAGCCGCGCGCGGCCCGCTACTGCCTAGCGCGGCCGCGCGCGGCCTGCAGCAGCCCAGCGCGCTGTCAGCGCAGCCCGCGCCGAGCCGCGCGCGTCCCTCTGCCTCGGCCCCGACCTGCCGCTGATGCGGCCCCGCCCTGCAGCTGCCACGACCCCGACCTGCCGCTGATGCGGCCCCGCCCTGCAGCTGCTTCGGCCCTACTCTGCACCCGGTGTTGCGGCCCCGACGTCGCCGCTGTCGTGCGCCTACTCGGCCGCCGCCCGTCGAGCGCCGGCCCTGCTCGCCCGGCGAGCGCCTGCTCTTCCAGCCTTTGGTGAGCGCCTGCCTGCCTGCCTACCGGCCTGCCTGTCTGCCTGCCTGCCTGCCGGCCTGCCTGCCTGCCTGCCTGCCTGCCTGCCTGCCTGCCTGCCGGCCTGCCTGTCTGTCTGTCTGCCTGCCTGCCTGCCTGCCTGCCTGCCTGCCGGCCTGCCTGTCTGCCTGCCTGCCTGCCGGCCTGCCTGCCTGCCTGCCGGCCTGCCTGTCTGTCTGCCTGCCGGCCTGCCTGCCTGTCGGCCTGCCGCGCCTGCCCTGGCCGCTGCTGCTACTGCTGCTGCTGCTGCTACTGGCAGGTGGCCAGATGCAGCTCCAGCGACGTTCACGTGAGTCTCTCACGCCCCAGCAGCTTAGTGAGTGGTATACTAGCTGGGGTTGTCGCGGTAGCCGTCGTAGCTGTCCCCCTGGAGCTGGTCAGTTGGGAGCGTCTGGCAGTGGCCAGCTGCAGCTGCAGCGGCGTCCACGCGAGACACTTACGTCCCGGCAGCTCCACGAGTGGTACGCTCAGTGTAGCAGGTCTACACGTACAGTTCGCTGCCAGTACGTCATTCGCACAGGTGATCGGGTTGGTCAGCCTTGCGGGACGCTTGGTCACACACAG